TCGGATAACATATTATTATAATATGTCATATACCGCGTGTAGATGATGGTAGGTACCTATATATATATATTATCATAATATACAGTGTTTGTTCCACAGCTGGGTTTTCTTCTGGGGAGGGAAGGGAGTTGCCAAATTTTGTTTATTAACTTACCTGTATTTACGAATTCATCATTTTTTTAAGGGTGCTCAAAAATTCAAGGGAGGTGGGTTGTACCTACCGGTAGCACGCCAAACCTGCAGTGTTATTCTCTCCGTCCTCGTAAGACATATACACGGCTCATCATAAGAAATAATAATTAATATATAAAACGATTAAAACTGTAATATTTTGAAATGCTCTAGATAATATTCTTACCTATGAAATTGATAATAGGTAGATTCACTCTAATATGCTCTAATTGATTAGGGCATTAGGCTGAATGAAAATTTGCCATATTGTAGCCTGCAGTATATAGGTTTGTAAGATGAGCGAGACATGGATACCTTTACGGCGTCCTCTCAACACCGAGTAAATCATCCAACCTGTACTATGACCATTATGTTATTTAACGTGTTATTATTTATCATAGTTATTATGTTGGGAGTAATATGAAGGGAAAATACGTTTTATCGACATCTGAAAAAGTAATTGCACATCGTTTTACATAAGAACCAACCTAACTTAAACAAAGTGCGTTCAGTGTATCTATTAATCTATATCGCGTACGATTATACACAGTTTCTATTATTATTGATTTCGGTTTTCAAGCTCGTCCACTACTTAATTTAGTCCAAGGCCAAGGAGAATTCAATAGTGGCGTCACGTGCGCCGAAGACGAAAAGTCTCGCAGTTTCGTACTTTGTTTTCCCTTGTGGCTTATATACCGGCACTCTACATATTATTATTATTATTATTATAAAACAGTTTTTTTATTCTTCAAGGAGATGATCGCGTTCGTTTATATTCACCCATTATATTATTATACGAGTGCGTTTTAACACGTTATAACTTATTACCGGCTACTGTATATAAGTAGCTATTATTATTATACACGCCGTACTCGATGGCAATCGACTTTACACAGTAGCCGTCGCTAACTCGCGTGTCGAGTGACGCGTTGTATAATCGCAAGTGTAATCTGCCGTGCTACGCTATATCATGGACATATATACATAATAATATATTAAATAGAATATTATATATATACTATACGCAGACACATTATATACATATATTGTGTGTATATATGATATTATAACGTCTTGAACTATTGCAGCCCCTTATAGACTCAGCGACGAGAAACATTATGTAGGTATATGATTGTGAAGATCGAGGAGATGGGAAATTAATTAAAATTGTTGGCGTTGAATAACTATGTACATATAAAGGTTATATAGTATATTAACGCTTGCATTTATTTAGACTATAGGTATAGCCCAATATGGCAATATCCCGTTGACGTGCGTGCCATATTACATACAGACACACAGTATAATATTTACACCTAACGTCAATTAACAAAGCCCAAACAAAAAAAGGTGGGCAAGTGGGTGTCGCTCTGCTGTACAGTAGGTTACAAGTGGGTCTATAATATATATGTATATGTATATGGATGATATTAAATTTGAATTCAACGATATAATATCATTGTATAAGAAAAACGATTCTGAGCGGAGACGGTATAAAGACCTATAATAAATTCCAAATTAATCATATCACAATATCCATTAGGTACCTATAGGCTATAACGCGTTATACATCAACAAAAACCGTGATACTATCATAGATATACATATAATAGTACACAGGCGCGTAGCTAGAAATTTCAAAGGGGGGGTGTTATTCAAACTTAAGAGGACGCTAAGACGTGTGTCTTGTCTCTGTCTTACACACGCACGACATAACAAATTGTCGTTCACTATTTTCAATAGTGAGCTGTTAGTTTTGATACTAGAGTGAATCGACATATTATCAAACTTTTAGGTAAGAACATTATCTGGGTCTTAGCTTGGGCGATTTTTCGATACTTTCACTTTTGAGAAAAATAAGTGTATGGAAATATTAAAAATGCTCATATCTCGCTTGAAAATTATTTATTATACAAACGTATTACAACTTACCAGTGAATAGATAATATAGTTTACAATAATAGTTCTCTTATATAATTTTATTATCAATAAAAAAAAATGAATACATTTTTAAATTAACTTAATGTGTCGACTTTTTGAGGCTAGTGTATCTATTATTTCGTCTGTGGTTACGACTCAATCTCGATGAATATTTATAACAGCTAAGCCATTCAAGCGATTTTCACCAGTTGTATTTCTTAGATATGTTTTCAAGCGTCTTAATGAGGAAAAAGACGTTTCACTGCTTGCAGTTGTTACAGGTAAAGTAATCAATACTTGTAAAAGTCGATAAACAGTAGGAAATATGTCTTCGTTGCTGTCAAAGAAGGCTTCGGTAGCATTTTTAGGATTTTTATTTTTTATATGTTCATACCATATTGCAAACTCACCTGCAATTGCAGATATTTCATCAGCTTCAATATCTGAAGAATATGTCTTAAGAAGTTCTTTAAATTCGGTCTCATTTTTTTCATTTGCATTTATTAAACAAGTAAATTGTTTTAATAGTGATTTATGGTTCAAAAATCTGTCATTTAGTTGCTCACAGAAATGATCCAAAAAAGGTACAAAAATCAAAATCCTAAAATAGACTTCCGGTGATTCTGTTGAAATGCTAAAACGATTTGTTCGGTTTATAGCTAGTCGAGGTATTGAAGTTGTAATCCCCAATGATAGTTGATACCATAGAGTAACACTCTAATGATGAAGTTGTAAACAAGTTGTAAATACTCTGCATTAAAAGATATCTTGTATCGTACATGAAACGAGTCAACGATAAACTGACACAGAATGGTCTAAAATAATAATTATCTAATTCCGTGTACCCGTGTCCCGGTTTAAATTATAAAACATAGTACACCACGGTTGAGGGGGGGGGGTGTTATTACACCTGTAACACCCCCCCTGGCTACGCGCCTGATAGTACACTTTAGAAGTTTCAAGTACCCACGAATAATATTATTCAATCACAACAAAATAACTAAAATAGTTATTCTAGGTAAAAGATTCTGAGTGGAACGATGAATGTATTGATTTAAGATTTTACAATGATGTGTGTTTTTTAATTTTTTAATTTTTTTTTGTGTCTGTGTACACGATAAGTAGTCGAAATAATGCTTCGATTTTCGACTTCAGTATCTTGTTCGATTGGAAAGTGAATATCGTTGGTGCATTGTGGAGGTCAAAATTTAAATTTCACAGTAGTTTTCAAAAGCGCCGGGAAAAACAAAAGAAAAATTAAGGAAAAACGGGAATTTTTACTCAAAATCTGTCTTCGAGAAAATCGATTTTGAATTTTGGTGTAACTTTAAAACAAATGACCGTAGATACATGACATTTTCAGTGGTTGTTTATATTTGCATTTTCTATACACGATAACATTTTCAAAATATTTTGATTTATTTTGAACTGTTTAGGGACATTTTCAGTTTCCAATTTTATTAGTTTTTTTTTTAATGAATATCAATAAAAATTTATTTGTCGAGTAAAAATACTTGAAAATTTAATACAAGGCTCCTACTATATTGTTTCAAAGACAGATGAAAAATATTAAAAATACATAGGCACAGTTTTTTTTTGTAAACATTTAAAGATCGAATTTTGACAAAATTTATCAAAATCTTGAAAATTACCTATTAATCATTGTAATTAATAAATTATAAAATGTTCAGTTTTTAATGCTGTCATGCTGGACCTAATCGAACCTCATTTAATCAATTATTTTTTTTAATTTTCAATAAAAATTGTTTCATGCGACAAATATTTTTGTCGAATGCGATAAAACCTTCGACAAGAATGATGAAACAGAGTCGGTGGTACCAGGGTCGCATGGGCTAACCGCTTCGGCATTGCGTCGTCGGCTCTCGGTATGTAGTTTTGTCGGCGGCGGCGTAGGCTACGACTATGTTTCATCGGACATCACGATCACAGTATACGTTCCTGTTACATATATTTCAATGTTTCGCGTTGCTGCAACGTTTCCAGAATGTACCCAATCTTTAATAATTAATCAAAACAGGACCATAAAACACTCAAAATTGACTTTTATTTTAAAAATCACAAAAAATCTGACTAAAAAAATGGTACCAATAATATTATATAATATTATATTATACTCATAAAGTCATAATAATAATTACAGGGGGACGGGTTCGATTCCTTGGTCATGGGTGGCATTTTTTTTTTCTATAAATATCAATTACGTTTTATCTGTTGGGCCAAAAAGTGTAAAAATTTAATACAATACTCCTGATATATTGTTACAATATTAGTTCAAAAACATTAAAAATACATTATATAATAATATGGTTTATAATAATAAAATGGTTTATTAAGTGGTTTGAGAGTAAAAACACCTATTATCAATATTGTAGAAGAGAAGTTAATCTGTGCCTGTATAGAAGTCAAATTTTAATATTTGTAATTACTAAACTCAATAATTCAAATTCAAAAAGTAAAATATCATAAGTTTTAGAGTTAAATATTGGACATTGAAAATAAAATATCGAAAATCGACTCCTATACAAGCCTGGATAAACTCCTTCTCTTCAATTTGTATAATAGGTGTTCATACTGTAATGTCACTCAGTAAGCTATATTATTGGAAATACGAAACTAAGTTTCAGTGGTTCACTAAAATTCACATTTGTAATTAGAGTGTAAAATGTTCCGTTAATGACATGTGCGTGCACGTGCGGGTGTGCTCCACTATTAATTTTATACACAGTCACTCACACTAATAATCACTTACTACGCACACATTTACACGACCCGCATGCACACCATTAGAAAATTGCCTATACCAAACTCCCGATGCACACGTGCGTTTTTCGCCGCTGCGGCGCCGCTAATACGGCGAACTTTATTTGTGATCAAATCGAGCAGTGCACATGTCTTGCGGCGCCGCTGCGTCACCGCTGCGTTCGGTGTCTGCCGCAGATAACAACGTCGCCGCAACGGCACCGCGCACGCAAATCCGGTTCAGTAGTACATTGTTGTATATCGACTCATGCACACGTCCGATTTTTCCACGCAAGATGTCCGAAATCGACGATGTTGACATTGAATTGTTGATCGGTGAAGTCAAAAGTCATACAGAAATTTGGAACATCGCTGATGAAAATTATCACGATAGGACCAAAAAAAGAAGTGCTTGGATAAGCATCTGCCAGAATTTTTTCCCATCATTTGATGAAAAGGACGACAAAGAAAGAAATGATATATGTAAGTATTTGCAATATTATTAAAATTCGTCAAAATCTTGAAAATGCACAAATTATTTTGTAGTTAAAAATTTAAAAAGTATTCTAAATAGTAAATACTATGATAATTGATAGCTATTTGATAACTATGAAAAACTGTCGAAACTTTTATGTTTTTAAATATTATTAATAAAGATATGTTTATTGAAAAATTAAGTAAATCCTTAGGTGAACTATACAATTAGCAACTTACTATTATATTATAATTTTTTTGTATTTTTCTCTTACCCATTGGCCATTATATTTTATTATATTAAAAAAAGTAACAAATATTTTATAAAAACAATTGTACATGTAAAATGAAATATTATCCCTGAAATATTACGACAATACCTAAATTTACTGATTTAACCAAATTTGAATATAGTATAAATTATAATTTTTAATTTAAATAACATTAAAAAAAAGTTCTTAATTATTATGTAATTATTTTGCCAATGAACACTGCCAACATCCGAAACAAAATAATCAGCCAACTTATTTCTCGTTTGAATATACTGGTTAGTTGTACTTGTTGTTCCTCCATCTTGTTCTGCGTCAACAAATCCTGTAACACTCATGACATCTTGTATGTTGATTCCATATCTAACTCTAACATAGTTATGAAGTGAACAACATGTTTTTACCACTTGAATGGCTAAATCCAAATTAGCATTTATGGGCTTATGAAATATTTTCCATTTATTTGACATTATACCAAACCCACTTTCAACATGCCTTCTAGCTCTGGAAAGTCTATAATTAAAAACCCTTTTCTTATGAGACAATACTTTTCCACTGTAAGGTCTCATGATGTTCGACGAAAGGGAAAAAGCTTCATCACCAATAAATGTGTAAGGCATATTTATATTAGTACCTGGAAGGGGTCGGCTTTTTGGAATGTTCAGTGTATTATTTTCAAGTGCCTTATAAAAATTTGTCTTTTCAAAAATCGTACTATCAGATTCTTTACCGAAAGCGCCAACGTCAATATAAATAAACTTGTAGTTTACATCTACGATGCCGAGCAAAACAATTGAAAAATAATTTTTATAATTATAAAAAAGTGACCCACTCATCTTCGGTTTACGAATTCTAACGTGTTTGCCATCGATTGCCCCTAAGCAATTGGGAAACTGACTGTAGTTTTGAAATCCATCTGCTATATCTCTCCATTGTTCTTCCTTCAGCTCAGGAAATGTTTCAGATCGTAGTACTTCCCATATAACACCGCAAACTCTTCTCAAAATTTTTCCAATAGTTGAGTGTCCTATCCGATAAGTTAAATGTAGATCTATCTGATCACAACCACTTCCCAAGTACCTGTAATGAAATTACGACTCATATAATTATACTCATATATTTTTAGATTCTGAGCGAAGCGAAAGAATGTATTGATTCTACAATGATGTGTGTTTTTTTATTTTTTTATTTTTGTGTCTGTCATCACCTTTTAGGACAGTAAAAATGCTTCGATTTTCTTCAATAGTACCTTTTCTGATAGGAAAGTGAATCTAGTTGTTACTTTGGGGGGGGGGGGGGGTCAAAAGTAAAAATTAAAGTAGTTTTCAAAAGCTTCGTGAAAAACAAATAAAAAATTAAGGAAAAAACGGCAATTTTTAGGCAAACCCAATTTTCGACAAAATTGATTTTAATAAAATTCATCAAAAAATGATAATTTTCTTCATAAAATCCTTCATAAGTTTGTCTAATTATATTAAAAAACCAAGAATAAGTATTTTAAATATTTTTTTTGTAATTTTACAATATTAATTCAACTTATACCGGCTACCGCATTAATAACTAAGTAATAAAAATATAAATAATATAATATAAAATACCCACACTGATGACCCGTCACCTTTTTCAACTTGCACTTGTATACTCCCACGAATATTATTTTATTTTTATTATAGGTACTAAATACTCATTTAGTAGAAAAAGGTTGGCTTCGATTAATTTCCTCAGGACCACAACCAGCATCAAGAGCTGAATTTATGAAAGTACTTTCGTCTATTGAAGCCATCCTAATTCGTGCGATACACGCTTCTCAGACTAATAGAACATACCTCAGTGAAGTGAGTTTAGATACAGCTATTGAATCTGAGACTGGTGGTGAACGATCAACCAGTGTTGAAATATGCAGATGTCCAGTTGGTCACAGAGGAACATCATGTGAAGTATGTAGAATAATCTCTATCAAATGTACGGTAGTCTTTATTAAATCATTTTTCAAATTAGATATGTAGTGTTGGATATTACAAGGATACCAATGACCAATGCTCAAGATGCCCATGTAATGCTAACGAAGAAAGCTGCTCACTAGGCTCAGACTCAAGAGTCACTTGTAATTGTCTCTCTGGATACACCGGATCTTCCTGCAATACTTTAGGTAATACATGTATTTTATAATGACAGTATATTTTTCATTAACAAAATACATAATAACTTAATCACGTTTTCGAGAATACTGGATAACTAAATTATTTTGCACATATTTAATAGGTACTATATTTTATTTTAGCATATAATTCTAGCTCATCAAATTCAAATAAATATTTCTGAATAGCAACTTTTTAAAGCAAATATGGGCTTTACATAAACTTAACAGCAGGTGCTTAACTCAAGCTTATCGGTACAGATTAATCAAAAATTAGTAATTACCAATAGTGATGCATAGTTTAAACAATGAACAACAGTTAACATTTGGACAAATATCCACATTGATATATCCAAGCACTATACTCTATACCCTAAAATATTAATTATTAGTTCATCAAATTGGGATATAATAAAAGCCGTAGGCATTTATCAATTGTAATCCTTAAGAGTATTTTTTATGGACCTATACTATATGGATCGCTATAGGAATTGTATTTATTGAAAATTACAATTTAAATAATATAATTAGACCAATTATGTTTAAAGAAGTCTACTTTAAGCATTAATTTAATTTGACGTATCATTATCAACAAAAACGAATAACTAATAACTAATGAGTAACATAAACCTACAGGCAACACTCATTGTACATTAAAACCTCTTATAGATTTAAGGTAATAACACAAAAAAATTACTTAAAAAACTTTAAAGATAACTAATTAATACTTCCAAACTATCAGAATTATTTTCTAATTATAGTGGTGCAATAACTAATATAATTTTATTTTCAGTTAATAATAGACTAACCACAACTACAACCAGAACACCACCACCATTACCACAGCCAGAAATTTATATTCAAATAACTGAGCCGAAAATCGAAATTGTTGAAATAGGAAATACAGTCACATTACACTGTGCTGCCAATTCTCGTCGTTCACAAGTAAAATATTATTTATTTTTTAATTTCATGAAATAACTTGTAACATATTTTGCATGTGCTTTTCAGAGAATCAGTATAACATGGTCAAAAGAAGACGGATATTTACCATCTGACCGTACACAAGACAATGGTTCTGGTTACTTGTATATAACTAGTGTAGAACCTTCAGATAGTGGAGTGTATATTTGTACAGCATCTGATGGATATTCATCCTTCAGTGACAAAAAAATACTGAGAATAGGAGGTAAGAATGTCAACATTAAATAAATAAATGTATTCATTTGTATAGTAAAGTTCTTAAGTTATTTATTAAAAAACTTATTTTTTTCATATTAGATCAAACAGAAACAACCAGTAAACCAATACAAAGTCAGCCAGAAATTTACATCACAGTTTCCGACCCATCGATTGAGATCGTGGAAATTGGTAGTACTGTAAGGTTTAGATGTGATGCAAGATCTAGACGAAGTCGGGTGTAATTAATGTTTTCTCTATATACAATACACATACATAATAATATAAATAACAAAATTCATAATAATGTTTGTAAATATTTGTCAAGCCTGTTGTGTTAAAATGGACAAGATAAGGTGGTAGTTTACCTGCAAATAGAGCAATCGATAATGGATCAGGATATTTGCTATTTACAAATCTTGACACATCGGATTCCGGAGTATATGTATGTACCGCTTCTGATGGTTATTCAGCAATTAGTGAAAAGAAAACACTTGCTGTTGGAGGTAATAATTAACATTTATGTATTTATTTTCATGTAAAATATTCAAATATTTATTTTTATTACATGCTCTCAAAATAGAATTTCGTCAGGATATAAACACTATTGGTAAAATTGATATGTGTATTTCATAATATTAGTGTAAAATATTATAGTATTTCAATTATAATTGTATTAATTAAAATATTGATATCTAGGTGGAACAAATATTATTAAACCAACTGTTGAAATCAGACCTAAATACCTAAAACTCGTAGTTGGTGATCCAGCTGAATTCACTTGTCAGTCTCCTGGAGCTCCTACACTTGAATGGTATAGAGGATTAGATCAACAGTTTAACCCATCTGTGAGTTATTTATAATTACTTATAAAATAAGTGATATAATTAATAAATCATTGATTCAAATTTAGTACGTGTCGGAAGATGGTGTGTTCCGTATCCCTGCAGTTAAACAATCCGATCAAGGCACTTATTTCTGTAGAGCAACAAATCAAAATGGCGAAACTGATTCGCAAAGAGTTACAATTTATATTGAACGTAAAATTAAAACATTGTGATTAATTTTAACTGCACAAACTAATATTTGTACTTTTATTAAAACAGCTTCCCAAACCGCCATAAATGGATCAAATGATTTATTGTCACTGACAATAGATCCACCTCAATATTCAGGACCTGGTGATATTGTACGTCTTCAATGTACCATTTCAGATGAGACTCAGTATGGTGTGAAATGGTCAAAAATAGGAAACCAACCATTGCCATATGGGTCTGAACAAAGTTCAAGTGGTCTTTTGACTCTCCACCGTCTTAAACCTTCCAACTCTGGGGTATATGTCTGTTCAGCTATTTCATATAGGTCTGGAGCGATTGAATCAGAGGTTGAAGTACCAGTAAATATTGTACAAAGAAGGTAAATATTATTGTACAACTACCTAAAATTG